CTCTGGATGAACGATGGCACCCTCTATGCTATTTTTTGCGAGTTTCAAACTACACGAGCGGCTGAAATCAGTCTTGAGACGGGTGAGTTCCCACGTTCCAAATAATGGTATAGTAGAGGAGCAGTAATATTTCTCCTCATACATCTAGCAATCCCTCCAATTATCCTCGTTTCAAGTATGATAAAAACTGTCACCCTTTGTTTGTAGAAAACTACGCAACTTCATCATCTTAAGAGTGACGAACTCTGTATTGCTTGTGATAATAGTCAACTGGATGATGGTGCCTGTGTGGTTGCTAATATTTCCGACATTTAGTTCTAGTTGCGTAAAAAGTAATATTAATAAATAATACTATAAACAATCAATAGATATATGAATTCAACCGAGACCGTTGCATTTTATGCAGCTAGGTCAAATGACTTATGCAGATCTGTCAAAACACCTATTAATTAACTGCATCTGGTGGATTCTAGTTGAATTGCTTAGGGAATCCTGCGACCTGCCGTGTAAAAATTGGCGGATTCCATGCTTTGCAGTGGGCTGGACTGGAAATTCGATCCACCCGTGGCAAAATGCATGGCTCCCGATGGGGCCTCATTACTTAGGTGGCTAGAGCCTGAGTCTTCCCTTGTTGTCGTGGATTCTAATCTAACAGAGGTCACCGAGTGTATTACAATCGTGTCAGATTATTTATTAAAATCTGTCAAAATGTCCTAAAAATATTATTTGCATTGGCAGTATCGATATTATCTTCCTAACCTCAGTGATATTTATTGATGTTAAAGGTAGGGGTGCAGTCAGTTGTAGTAATGGTTGTATTTTGTGAATGGAGATAAAATATCTTCATAGTCGGAAAAATGAGCATCGGTGCGTGGTAAGAGTATGACACAGTAGTAGATAAGGTGCTTATTTTGCAACTCGTTGCACTATGGAAGCCTAGAACTGTAAACCTGGCGAAACTTTGCTTTTGATATTTTCTTGCACACATTTCACGGTTTGTCAGCGGTGAGGCTGCAAACTTAAAACTTATTTTACCATCACCACAGTAGTCGCCGAAGATCACGCAACATGTCGACATATGCGAAAGATTGATA